ACAAGCAGGGGGAGTGGGAGAAGGAGAAGCAGGCTTCCTGCAGAGGAGGAAGCCTGATGCGGGGCTCGATCCCAGGACCCTGGGATCATGACCTGAGCTGAAGGCAAATGCTTAACGACTGAGCCACCCAGGCGCCCCTCAACTTTATATTAGTCTTATTAAGCTATTTCAAAATAAGAAGTTATAAAAGCTGAGTGACCAAAAGAATTGAAAGCAGGGTCTCAAAGAGATATTTGTACACCCATGTTCATAGCAGCTCTATTCATAATGGCCAAAAGGGAGAAGCAACCTGTGTCCAAGAGCAGATGAATGGAAAAACTAAATGTGGTATATTCATACAATGGTTTATTATCAGCCTTAAACAGGAAGGAAATCCTGACCCATGCCCTAACGTGGGTGAACCTTGAGGATACGGTGCTAACTGAAATAAGCCTGTCGCAAAAAGACAAAGACTGTAGATTCTACTTATATGAGGTCCCTAAGGTAGCCATGTTCATAGAGACAGAAAGTAGAATGGTGGGCTGGGGGACAGGGGATGGGGAATTAGCATTTAATGGGGACAGAGTTTTAGTTTTACAAGATGAAAAGAGTTCTGAAGATTAATTGCATGACAACGTGAATGTTCTTTTAACACTACTGAACGGTACACTTAAAAACGGCAAATTTTATGTTGTGTGTATTTTACCGCAATTAAAGAAAAAACACTGGGGCACCTGGGTGGCTTAGTCAGTTAAGGTTCTGACTCTTGATTTCAGCTCAGGTCATGATCTCAGGGTTGTGAGATCAAGCCTGGCATCAGGCTCTGCGCTGGGCAGGGAGCCTGCTTAAGCTTTTCTCTCTCCCTCTGCCCCCTCTCCCCCTAAAAACAACAACAACACTCTAGTGGCATTGTTTTTAAAGATTTTATTTATTTATTTATTTATTTATTTATTTATTTTAAAAGATTTTATTTATTTATTTGAGAGAGAGAGAATGAGAGAGAGCACATGAGAAGGGGGAGGGTCAGAGGGAGAAGCAGACTCCCTGCTGAGCAAGGAGCCCGATGCAGGACTCGATCCCGGGACTCCAGGATCATGACCTGAGCCGAAGGCAGTCGCTTAACCAACTGAGCCACCCAGGTGCCCAAATTTTATTTATTTATTTGTCAGAGAGAGAGAGAGCACAATCAGGGGGGAGCGGCAGGCAGAGGGAGAAGCAGGCTCCCCGCTGAGCAAGTAGCCTGATGTGGGACTCGATCCCAGGATCCTGGATCAGGACCTGAGCCGAAGGCAGACACCTAACTGACTGAGCCACCCAGGCGTCCCTAGTGGCATTTTTTAAAAGCAAAAGTTTTTGTATTGTATTTATTTCTAAGCACAGGTATACCCAACATTTCAAAAGTTCACATTATCCCACTTGATTTCACAAAATACCTACACATTAGTACCTGTTTTTCCTAACTGAAAGAAATCGGAAGGGACTTCTGCTCTAAGGAAAAGGGTGAAAAGCGAAGCTAGCCTTCAGTGTTTGTTCTTCAGCAAGTCCTGATAGAGGCAGCCAGGGTCCTCCTCTGAGAACTCTCCTCAGCATCCCAGCATCGAGCTGCCAGAGCATTGAACTGTGGCTGTGAGCATCTGGGTTTTATTTTGACTTATTTTGTGCATCCGTTAACAGGACGTGTCCTCAGGTACCAGAAAAGCCTGAGAGAGGTTATTCTGGGGGGGTCTGGGAATGCGCAAAATTTTTTCCATATAAATAAATGTTGATGGCTTCTTGGCCATCTCTGCTTACTACGGGTTTCACGGAAATGCTCTACTTTCAGATAGCTGCAGAACCCTGTAGTTGATGTATGTGCTGTGTTCAAGAAGCATTGGTAGTGTTCCCCCTCCACCCCCACTTTTACACACACCCCCACCCTGGTTCTCTCCTCAAAGGTATTATCAATTTCTTGCTTTTCCTTCCTGAGATATTTTCTGTATTTGCAAACACATTTGTGTTTGTCTTTCTAACTTTTACATTTGCTTTTCATTCCATAAATGCTTCCACGCTGGCTTTTCTTTTTCTAATATTGTATTTATTTATTTATTTTTAAAGTAAATCTACACCAAACTTGGGGCTTGAGCTTAGGACCCCGAGATCAAGAGTTGCATGCTCTGCCGACTGAGCCAGCCAGGAGCCCCTCTATTCTTTTCTTTTCTTTTCTTTCTCTTCTTTTCTCCCTTCCTCCCTTCCTTCCTCCCTCCCTCTCTCTCTTTTCCTTCCTTCCTTTTCTTCTTCCTTTCTTTCTGATAAAATGCACATAACATAAAACTTACCACTAAAACCATTTTAAAGTGTACAATTCATTGGCATTAAATACATTCACCATGTTGTGCAACCATCACCTCTATCTAGTTCCAGAACATTTTCATCACCCAAAAGCAAACACCATCCCCATGAGCAGTCGCTCCCTGCCCTCCTCCCCCAACCCCTGGCAACCATTGATCTCCTTTCTGTTTCTATGGACTTCCCTGTTCTGGAGGTTTCATATAAGTGGAATCCTACACCCTGTGGCCTTTTGTAACTGGCTTCCTTCAGTAGGCATGATGTTTTCAAGGTTCATCCATGCGTGTATCAGAACTCCTTTCTTTTTTATGGCTGAGTAATATTCCATTCCTGGATGGACCAATTTTGTTTCCCCATTCATCCATTGACGGACGTTTGTTTGTTTGTACTGACCTTTTGGCAACTGAATGGTGTCATGGACATTCACGTACAAGTATTTGTTTGACACCTATTTGCAATTATTTGGGGTTTATACCTAGGAGTGGAATTGCTGGTCCTCTGGTAACTTTGTTGAAATTCTTGAGGAACTGCCAAGCTTTTCCATGTGGTAGCAGCCCTTTATTGCACTTGTCTTTCCAAAGTAACCATCTTGTTTTGTTTTTAAGATTTATTTATTTGAGAAAGAGAGAGAATGAGTGTGCATGTGAGTGGGGGGAGAGGCAAAGGGAGAGGAAGAGAGAGAATCCTCAAGCAGACTCCCTGCTGAGCATGGAGCTTGATCCCAGGCCCATGAGATCATGACCTGAGCCAAAATCAAGAGTTGGCCGCTTAAAAGATTGAGTCACCCAGGCACCCCCATCTTGCTTTTTTTTTTTTTTTAAGGTGCCCTCTATTTCTCCCTGCTCCTTCATCTATCCTGCCACTGTTGCAAAGCAGATCCTTGAGCACAGACCTTGGAAGCGCCAGTCGGGATATTTTGGGGGCTGCTTGTCCTCCCTAAGGACAAGCCTATGTACTCCTACTCCAAATCCCCGTCCCTCCCATATGTGATCCTGGGACAAGTGACTGAGCTGCTCTGGGCCTCAGTTTCCATACTTGAAAAATGGGATAAGAACAGTCCTCCCTTGAAGGGTTTTGTGAGATTAAGAAAGAAAACCCCAGTGATGTGCTCAGACAGGGCCCGAGTGTAGTTTGGGCTACCTGTGTATCTGAGCCTTTCTCCCATCCAGTCTCAGCAGTGTGTGACTCAGTTTCTTCCCATCAGCACTGACTCTGGATGTTATATATGCTTCCTCCCTTTTGTATGGTGGGATGAGGGAAAATGATGTGGTTTCCCTCCCTCCACAACCCTGGCTTCTAGCAACATGTGCAGACACTTATTACACACTGGAGTTATGAAACGTGATCCTTGGTGAGATTTTTGTTCTTTTCTCTTCTCCCACTTGGTTTGGGTCTTGTTCTCACAGCTGGTGCAGGCCAGCTCTCAGATTTTCTGAATTCTACCTGAAGCTGCCAGAGACCAAAATAGCCACTGAGTATGTGACCTCTGGTTTGTGCTCACAAACCGGGGCTCCGGGCCAGTCCAGTGAACTCTGCCCTGGGTATTCCGAGGCCAGGGCCAGAGGCAGATGGCTCTTGAGTTGGCACCCTAGCTAATCCCAGGCCAAGGCTGCTTGGAATGAGATGTCAGTGACCCAAGTCCAAGGTCTAGCCCTGTTTTCTGATGATGTGGCCAGAAACTGAGCTTTATTTTTTTGGCTGTATTTGGAGAAATTCTGGTCTCTGATCAATATTAGTGGGTGACCTACTGTATGCCAGACACATATTGGGTGCATTGACATGGCTATAATGGGGACACATCCTTGCCCTGGAAGTCCTAATCCCTATGTCAGAAAAAATGGGAAACAAATCAGAAAAGCAGTGTCTATAATGGAGTGTGATCACTGCTACAAAGAGGATGAAGCAAGGAAAGGAGATGGACCTACTCACGGAGGGTGAGGGGTGGGGTGGGGGAAGGTAGGGGAAGTAGAACCCCTAGGAAGAGGTGAAGTTCAGCTGACCTCTGAAGGAAGAGAAGCAGCTCGGTTTGCAGATAACCTGCAGGGCATGCTCCAGGCAGAAGCAACAGCAAGTGCAAAGGCCCTGGGGTGGGACTCCACTAGGCCCTTGAAGGACTGTTGGGGCTAGAAGTGGATGAGTGTTGGGGAGATGGAGAGAGGGGAGGCCGAGGTCTGTGGAGCCACATCAGCCTCCTTCTTTGCAACATGGGAGCCTGTAGAAGACTTTTCGGCAACACCTTACTGTGGTGCTGGGTTTTCACTTTATTCCGTTCCCCTCTCGACTCCCTGGCCCACAGGCATGCCACTTCTCTGACTCCAGGAGGCTCTAGTCGAGCGGCCCTACGAACCATGCATGCTTCAGGTTCTTCCTCTAAAAAATGTAGTGAATAACGGGGTCTTACAGGGAGGTGGCGGAGGAGGGAGCCAGATAATTCCCAGGAGTGGGCAGACAGTGGGTGCTCAGTGAACACGCGGAATAAATGACCGGCTCGTCGGAGCGCCTGACTCACTGAGTTCAAGCGGCCACGTCGTACGAAACGAACTGTCCCCATCTTACAGGTGGGGAAACTGAGCTTGGAGAAGGTGGGGAGTCCGGCGTCCCGCGGGACAGTGTCGGGGTCGGGGCGCGCACGCTGCGTCTCAGGCCCGGGGGCGCGCACGCCGAGCGGCCCGGCCGGGGGCGGGGCCGGGGGCGGGGCCGGGGCGGGGCGGCGCGGGGTCCTGGCGGCGGGGGCGGCGGCCGAGTCGCCAGTCCCGACAGGAGCGGGTCCGAGGCGCAGCCCGAGCCCGCCATGGAGCAACCCAGGAAGGCGGTGGTGGTGACGGGTACGCTGATGGCGGCCGTGGCGACAGCGACCGCGGGCAGGGGCGGGTTGGGCGGCTCCAGAGCCGGCAGGGTTGGCAGAGGCGCGGTGGCCCGGGAGGGGAAGGTGCTGGAAGTCCTCCCAGGTTTGGAAGATGTCATCGCCCAGCTCAGTCGGCGCAACACGTAGAAAGTGGAGAAGGGGCGCCCCTATGGTCGCACTGTCAGGGGTCGGGGCAAGCAGGGGTGTGGGGGTCCGGTCAAGTGCCCCGCGTAGAACAGGCCCCTCGGGCGTCCTTCCTTCCCCGGGTGAGGACAGTGGTCCTCTGGGTACCTGTCTGTTCTGTCTGACCGGCCGGTGGGCAGGACTTGACTTCTCCCTGCCCCTCCCGAGGTCGGGCCTGTCCCCACCCACGGCCCCAGGGGACAAAGGCCGATTTGCGGGCAGGAAGTGCCCCAGTGACAATGAACCTTCTGCCAGCCACTGCCCCCCCAGCCCTGTGCTAATGGGGGGCTGTTCTCCCGAGGCAAGAACAGGTGGAGGTCGGGGGACCTCGGGGGGCCGGCCGCTCTCCCTGTTGTCACCAGGACCGTGTGGGTCAAAATCTCCACCCCACCCCCCGCCTCCGGCTGTTTATGGGTGAGCCCGTCCCTGCTGTCACCAACTCCCTGAAACTGTTCCTCCTCGAGAAAACTCCGCCTCGGGGCCACGTGGGCATCAACTTCTGCCGGGCCTCTGGTTGGGGGGTCATTTTGACCCGCTGTCTGGAGGGGTCAGAGTGGGAGATCCAGCTAAGGTTCACACAAGTGTTTTCTGGCCTCGGGAGGGTGAGGCTGATCCTGGAATTCCCAGGAAGGTAGAAGAAGGCACTCACTTAACAGGTGTGTGTGATTGCGGGGAGAGTTGCTGCCGCCACTCCCCCTGCCCCCCCCCCCAGCCCTTCTGTATCTGGTTATTTGCTCCTCCAGTGCTGGATTCTGCAGGCAGCCACCGGACTGGGCATTTTCCTTGCATGAATTCATTACATCTGTACCATCTCCGTTTTGCACAGGGGAAACTGAGGCTTACAGAGGTCACCCTGTTTCTAGGTGGCTGAGCTGGGACTCCTACTTAGTCTATGCAGGAGAAGAGAAGGGGTGGAGAGGTCCTGCCTCCAAGGCACAGCATCCCTCCCAGGGCCATGACACCACCTGGGACCCTCAGTCCAGCCGGAGTGACCCACACTTCCAGGGCAGGCTCTCTTGGAGATGTTCATTTCTAGGCAGGGTGACAGGGTGATTAGAATAGAAGAGCTGTGTATTCTCATGGGTCTGGTTTTGAATCCCAGCTCTTCTGCCTTCTTGCTGTGTGACCCTAGGCAGCGGTTTCCACCCTGTCTTTGCCTTAGTCCGGCTCCTGTAAAAGGGGTCCAAGAAACAGCCTTGCCTGAAAGAGGATTCAGTGAGGCTGAAGGCCACAGTGCATGCAGGACACTTAGTGCATCCTCAGACCACTCCCTCAGTTTGTAAGTGGGGCCTGGAGTTCAAGAAGCGGGGAGGAGCCTGGCAGGATGGTGTCTGGACAGTCTGGCCTGGGAGACACTCACACCTTTCCCTTAAGGGCCATTCCTCACTTCGTGGTGATTCACGGAGCACAGAGGCCCTGCACAAAGACAGTAATAAGATAATTATAGATGGGGTCAGGGATAGTGGAAAAATCGAGAAGGGAAAAGGCCAGCCCTTTCTGGGGCAAAAGGAGGCCACTGGCCTCTTGCCAGGCACGAGGGTCGGGTGAAGGTGAAGACAAGAAAGGACAGTTAAAAGCAGTTAAGAGCAGTGGGGGGGGGGGGGGGCTCTGAAGGGCCCTGGGTGTACCCCAGATCGCGGGACCAGGCCCCTGACATTGGCCCTGGTGGCAGGCAGCTGCCAAAATTCCCTGTTCCGTCCTGCCAGGTGGAGGCAGCAAACCAACCCTGGGCAGGCTAAAAAAGGTCACTGGGTGTTAACATGCTGCTTTTACTGTTTGCTCTTTCAGGATTTGGCCCTTTTGGAGAACACACTGTGAACGCCAGCTGGATTGCAGTCCAGGTAACTCAGATCTGGAGGGTAGGAATCAGACTCAGGGCTGGGCTCCCCCCCCGGAAATATATGGCACCAAAGAGAGGAAGGAATCTACGAAGAGAACGGCTCCCTTGAAGCTTCCTGCAAAATATATAAGTCTGGTATCCACATCTTTCCAAATGGTGACCCGTATAACTTCCACTTGTTGGCTTGCTGTGCACCGAGCACTCTGAATTTGCCTCACAAACTTTGCATGGTTGGGTGTACTCATTCTTGTGCCCACGTTCCTGATTAGGCCACTGAGGCCCCCAGAGAGTTATCGAAGTTCACACAGCCAGGAAACTGGAGCGGCAGTGACTCAAAAGTGCCCCCAGGTTTAGGGGGACCAGGCAGGGATGTTGGCGGATGTATTAACCTTGTAGAGAGGGTATAGTGATCCTCACTGTTGCTTCCCAGCAGCCGGGGGCAGAGAAGACTGCAAATTGGGGGGGGGGGTGTCTTTCCCACTGTCCTGAGCAGGTTGTCAGCCTGCAAGCCTTCCACTTTCTTTGTCAGATGGGGCATTTGGAGAGACAGACGGGAACAATGGGGAGAGAGAAAGAGAGAAACGTTTTCTCCTTATATAAATCAGATCTGCAGAGACCGGAGCCAAACTCATGTTAATCCTAGCCCATTAGCTGCTTGATTTAAAGCATCCCCTGCTTTTCACTCCAGAGCCCTGAATTTGGAAAAAAACCCAAGTTGAAACCTCAATGTGTCAAGCCCTAGTTTTGGGGATCCCCCCACCTTTTATATCAGCCCTAGTAGAGACCTCAAAATCTTGGCTACTTTTCTTTAAAAAAAAAATGCACCCCACTTTGTGAGCAGGACAGAGGGACGGGGTCCCCAGGACCCTGCAGATGGGAGTGTGTCGGAGGCTCTGCTCCTTGCACCCGCTCCCTGGAGCCCCAGACAAAAAGGAAACAGCGTGTTTCTGAAGACGTTGTGTGTCTGGCTTTGTGCGAGTTTCAGACAGTAGCCTTCACGGGGCTGAGTGGACACAAAGCCGTGTGTCTGAATTCCTGGGCCCCAGACACTATGATCTGCATCTAAATAGGAGAAAAATCAATTAAACAATCTTTGGAAATCCCTCTGAGCTTTGGGATGCGGATGGTGGAGGATGGCAGCTTTTTCATCCTGCTGCAGGAAGGGAAATACCCCTTATATTTTGGTCACCCATCTTGCCAGACCTCGCCTCTGGAAGACTTTCCATTTTCTTCTTCAAGCTTGTGAAACAAGAAGAGAGGATTCTCTACCATTCCATGGATAAAAAGAAGACACCAACCTTCCCAGATGTGATTGTTCCTCTTTAAAACCAAAGCAAAACAAAAAGCTGGAGTTGCACAAACATACTCTGAGTGAGCGCGTCAGTGTAGCTCCACGAAATTTTACGAATGTTCACCTCTGTGCCACCCGGCTCTGGATCAAGATCTAGAACATTCCCGGCCCCTTTCTAATCACAGAAGCTCCTTGTGGCCCTTCATAGCTATTTCCCCCCAGGTGTAAACATCTCTGCTGACTTTTTCTTTTTTTTCTGCTGCTGTGGGTGTCGCCTGTTCTAGAACTTGGCGTCAATGGAGTTGCGCTTGGCTCTGGTGCCTTCTGCGCAGCACGGTGTCTGCAGGATCTGTCTGTGGGGTTGCTGCGAGCTGCCCTTGGTGTGTTTTAGTTGACCTGGATAAAACAGACTTGCACATGAAAAGGTGTCCCATTGGATGGGTCCAGTCTATCCCTCACGAAAATATGGCTTCGAGTGTTCTTGGTGTGATCCAGACATGAGTTGCATGTGGCAGTTCATGTTGATCACCTCAAGCTGAAGATGGGAGTTTTGTTACCCAGAGTGAGCAGCAGTTAACTTCCTGTCCCCATAGATTTTTCAGAAGCCCAAGCTGTCACCTGTAGAAGGAACCCCTCCTCTCTCAGGGACCAGCTAACTTCTCTTGTCTCTCCCCTTCTCTGTCTCTCTGTCTCTGTCAGCCTCCCTCTGGTCTCTCCCTCTCTCCCCTTGTGTCTCCATATCTCTCTCCACCTCTCTGTCTCTCTCCCCTTGTGTCTGTCTCTTTCAGTTTTATTTGGCCTTTCTGTGGGTCTCTCTCTGTCTCTCTCCCTTATGTCTCCATCTCTCTCTCTCTGTCCATCTCTCTGTGTCTCTGTCTTTCCCTCTCTCTTCTCTCTCCTGTCCCCACCACCTCCTCTGTCCCTTTCTCTCATCTGACCTTCTTTCTTCATGCCTTGGGTGAACTTGTGCTCTAATGGAGAATGAACTATTTTCCACCAGCCATACTGGGGAGGTGGGAGTGTGGGGGACAGAGGGCACCCCTTTTCATCATTCCCTAGCATGGCACTGCCCCTAAGCACCTCCCACAGGACGGACTGCATTTTTGGAGCGTCTTGTCTCCCCCAGGTCTAGGGTGGTGGATGTGGGACACTGGTTGCGGGTCTCTCTCTTCCTAGGAGGCTCAGGTGGGTGTCAAGGGCCGGGACCCCCTTGGCTTGGGGCCGTCTGGAGTGTTCCCTGCCCAAGCGCAGCGAGGAGGAGCTGGGTCACAGGTCCTGGTGACATCACGGGACAATTACTGCCACAGTGAGTCTAGACAGACCTGCTAAGGATATTAACCAGGGAACAAAGGGGGTCTTTGTTGTGGGGTCAAGGGAATCGGTCAGATGCGGCCTCGCGGCGGGGTCTTGTCAGGTAGACTGGGGTGTAGACAATGCGCCGTCTGGGGCGCATGAGCCCTGTTCCTTTCACGGTGTGTGCTTGGCGGCTGCGCTCGCTGCAGCATCGTGGGACTTGGGGGATGCTGCCACTCCCCTCCTCCCCCAGGAGAACTGCCCAGCTCTGTTGGAAGGCAAGAGTTTAGCTAGATCACAGGCCACCCACTTCTGATAACTTCGGCTGAACTTTATAGCTTGCTCCTTCCCCTCCATTGCCTTGTAATTTGCATAAAGTGACACATACAGATCTTCAGTCCCCCTGTCACTGCAGTGAAGAGTATTTATACACATGTCACTGCTGCTTCAGTTAAGATGGTGAACATTTCCATCAACCTCTTATGTTCCCTCTTGCCCCCCATCTCTTCCCCAGCATCCCCCACCCTGCCCCGGAGGCAGCTGCTGTCCTGACCTCAGTCAGCTTAGATGAGTTTTGACTGGTCTCAAGCTGCAAATGAACAGAATGGCACAGCCTCTGTGTCCCCCATGTGCGGGCAGCTCTCGCCTAGCCTGAATTGGTGGTGGGAAGGGCAGCTGGCTCTTTTCCCTACTTACCCGCTCCTTGCACTCAACATTGGCATTGGGGGACTTCAATAGTGAACCAACAGGGACACTCCTTTCAGGGTCTTTGGTGAACAGGTGGATGCCTGACTGTGGGAATGCTGTGGGCCAGGGTTGGAGCAGGGTGGGTGGTGGTGGTATATTTTTGGTTGCAGTTTGTTTTTTTTTTTTTAAGATTTTATTTATTTATTTGAGAGAGAGAATGAGATAGAGCATGAGAGGGGGGAGGGCCAGAGGGAGAAGCAGACTCCCCGCCAAGCAGGGAGCCCGATGCGGGACTCGATCCCGGGACTTGATCCCAGGACCCCAGGATCATGACCTGAGCCAAAGGCAGTCGCTTAACCAACTGAGCCACCTAAGCACCCTTTTTTTTTTTAATTTTAAAAATTTTATTTGAGAGAGAAAGAGAGATAGAGAGAGTGACAGAGATAGAGAGAGTACGAGTGGGTAGGAGAGGGAGAAACAGGCCCCCCGCTGAGCTTGGAGCCTGACGCAGGGCTCGATCCCAGGACCCTGGGATCATGACCTGAGCCAAAGGCAGACGCTTAACTCACTGAGCCACCCAGGTGTCCCTATGGTGGCAGTTTTCTTAGTTTAGATTTTTTTTCCCCAGATGAGAGGGGGGATAGGTGAGGACCCAGAGGATATGAGGAGCAAAGGTGAGGACAAGAAGGTGACTCACAGGGCACCTGGCTGGCCTAGTCGGTAGGGCATGTGACTCTTGATCTCAGAGTAGTGAGTTCGAGCCCCACATGAGGCGTGGAGCCTACTTAAAAAAAAAAAAAGTTGGAAAAAGGAGGTGACTCAGTCTCTGGCCTCCGGGTTATGTCAGCTCATTTCCTACTACTGAGAACTGATGTGGGCATGTGGCCATCCCACTAATGCTCAAAGAAACATCACCCAGTGGGGACAACCCTTGACTTGCCCTGGGCAAGTGAGGTTGCTCAGCGCAGACTTCCCATTCTGCCGGGCAGAGAGGATCCATGGGAGGGTTTGCTGTTCCAAGCCAGGCATCCAGCCTTGGCACATCACACGTGTTTTTTTTTAAGATTTTTATTTATTTGACACAGAGAGAGAGAGAGAGAGAGAGCAAGCAGGGGGAGTGACAGGCAGAGGGAGAGGGAGAAGCAGGCTTCCCTGAGCAGGGAGCTCGATGTGGGACTCGATCCCAGGACGCTGGGATCATGACCTGAGCCAAAGGCAGACGCTTAACCAACTGAGCCACCCAGGCACCCCCGGCACATCACATGTCATGGTGACCACAGGGTGGGGTCGGTGGTTATTGTGCCCCAGAGAAGGTTTCTTGGGTTGGTCACTAATCGAGTTAGCATCCCTTTCCCCCTCCCCGTGCCCACAGAGGTGGTTTCACCAAGTGCAGTGCCTGGGTTTGTGGTTGGCCTAACCCGTGGACAGTAGGCTCAACTGAGGGACAAGTCCCCAGCTGGACCCAAATAAGTAAAGGTGATCCTTTTAAGTCCTTAAGCCTGGGAGATGGATTCTTTTAATTCCTGGCCTTTTAACATATTTTCTGTTGCCAGAAAGGTCTGCCAGGGCCACAGGAAAATAAAAGCGGGGAGGTGGAATTAGAGTCGTGGGGGGTTGGGAGGGTCAGAAAGAGTGGAGTCATGGTGAGAGCATGTAAAGATAGATGAGATTATTTACCTCATGCCAGAGAAAGCCTTTCCTGGAGACTTCTCCCAGCCCTGGGGGGAGAA